GTTGGGAATTGCACCCAGATGTTTGCTCCGCAGCCAGCCAGCCAGCAACGACGGTCAATATTTGCTCTTTTCTTATTACCGCCGCTCTTTAAAAGGCAGCAGCAAGCTGGCTGGGGAGAGGCGTTTTCTGCCCTTGTTTTTTTTTCTAAACCCCCAATTCTTGCTTTCTCAGTGTTGGAAGAAATATCCTTCTGGGTTCAGTTCCAAGTGTGTGTGTGTGGGGGAGGGGGAAGACACTAGGTGCATGGAAGCCACTTGGAAAGATGGTTTATCGATGAACGGGACGGGTTCCTGGGCAGAAAAGGGAAGAGGTGCTGTGAGTCCCTGCGTTTTTGAACTTCTTGGCGGCACAGAAAGAGCATCCTGATCGGTTGCTGTCAGAGGTCATAGCTAGCGTTTTAGGTTGTGCTAAGTTTGGTTGAAACTTGGCGGGTTTCAAGTTTAGTTTTTACTTTGCGGTCCTTGCACCTTGTGCAACGAAATTAAACCCCATGACATTATAAGTATAAAAATAAAACACAAGCACACCTCCTTCACATTCTATACAATTGAATTGAAAACCCCTATAATATTGCATGAATATTGCACCCTACAGTAGAATTCAAGAGTTTCCTGCCCTGGGATAGAAGCTGTTTTTTTCAGCCTATTTGTCCTTGTTTTTATTATTATCCTGTCCCGTCTGCCAGATGGTAATAGTTCAATAAAAAAAAAGGTGCCCAGGATGAGATGGATCTGTGCGAATGTTTTGAACTTCCTTAAGGCAGCGGGAGCTCTAAAGCTCTTCCAAAGAGGGGAGAGGGCAACCCGTGATCCTCTGGGCAATGATGTTAACCTTCTGGAGCTCTGTCCTATCTGCCCCTGTGCAGTTGGCAAACCATATACAGGTGTGGTAAGTTAAGGTGGTGCAATGAAGGGCAATTAAATGGCTCTGCCCGAAGGAAGGAGGTAGATCTTTGTTATGTAGAATAGACTGGCCCAGGCCTTAATGGCCCATTAGCGGGGGTGGGTGGGTGAGTTTCTGCCTCTCTTGAGTTTCTACCTCTCTTTTAGGGGAAATATTCTGTCTTTTTAGTATATCTAAAATATTTCATTTTTTTAACTTCCAACATCGTTGGGGCTCAGCTGACCCGAAGGAGACAGGATCCGGAAATGGGGTATGCAACAGATGATGGTGGACTCCCATCCTTCGAATCAGCTGGCCAGACTCTTTCTATCAGATGTAAACATCTTCTCGAAGGTGGATATTTTTTTTTTTTGAAGCCTCTAATTTGGTTCCAACCAAAAAAACAAATCAATTTCCTGGGAGATTTTTTCTCCAGCCAGAAGGTTAACCTGGACATGGGGGGCAAAGTTGGAGCTAATAAAGGGACTCCTACTGATTATTTGACTGTGTTGCCTTTGTGCCACGCCCCTTTGGGTCATCACAGGGAGTTGAAGTCCACAAGCCTTAAAGCTCCCAAGTTTGAACACCCCTGGAGTAGGTGGTGCACAAGATAAATCCCCCCCCCTTTTTTTTCTCCAGCTCCAGGGCTTCCTTCCTCTGAGGAGAATGTTAATTTCATTTCTTTCTTTTTTTTAGAACGCCGTCTCCCCATTTCGAGAGGCGGCTGCGTGTCCTAGTGGTTAGCAAAGCCTCCGTCTCCCGCGTATGCGTCGTTTTTTTCTGCCCAGGATTCGCTGCTTTTTGGTGACTCGCTGACGGGGGTGCAGTCTAAAGAGTTTGGCTTGAAGGAGACACATCAGTGTTTGTCCTTCCAAGGGGAAACGTGGAAACGCATCAGCCCAGCGCTGTGAGCCACAAAGGAGAGGCACATTAAATAAATGTTAAGAGATGATTGCAACCGGGACAGAAAGCACAGTGGCAAAATGTCAGCGTGTTGATATATATAAGCTTTGGCGGCAGTGACCTTCAGGATCCCGGAGATGGTCCTTGGCTCATCTTAGAGCAGGGAGATTGTAGCAGCAGAGGAGGGGGGCAGTTAAGCATTGAACGTAGAACAATAGGTTGGAAGGGGCCTTGGAGGTCATCTAGTCGAGCCCCTTGCTCCAGCAGGAGACCCTATACTGTCTCAAACCATCTGCTGCCCAATTGCTTTATAAAAAACCTCTAGTGGTGGAGCACTCAGGACTTCTGGAGACAAGCTGTTTCACTGATTAAAAGAATTAGAGGATAATATTTGGAAGGGACCTTGGAGGTCTTCTAGTCCAACCCCCTAATATATATATATAGATATATAGTCTCCAGCCCCCTAATCCTCTTTGTTGCTCTTCTCTGCACTCTTTCTAGAGTCTCTTTTTTACATCGTGGCGACCAAAACTGGATGCAGTATTCCAAATGTGGCCTTACCAAGGCCTTATAAAGTGGAATTAACACTTCATGTGATCTTGATTCTATCCCTCTGTTGATGCAGCCTAGAACTGTGTTGGCTTTTTTGGCAGCTGTAGCACACATCTGGCTCATATTTAAATGTCTGTCCACTAGGACTCCAAGATCCCTCTAACAGTTACTGGCATTAAGCCAGGTTTCACCTGTGCTATACCTGGGCATTCTTCACTGACGAAGCTTTTGCGATGAGAAGCTAAAGGTTTTCAAAGAAAAAAAAGTCCAGTTGCCGTTTGAAAAAAAAGCACTTTTGAGCTAAGACCCAAATGCATAATTAAAGCTTCCAGCCTCAAGAAACTTTGGGGCATAGTTTGCACAGTCCTCCCAAACTTCCTGTTTAATGAGACAGAAGGAGAGAATTAATTACATATCAGTCTGGGGAGGAATCTCACTGACTATAATTAAGCTGGAAGCACAGGAAATATAAATGAAAGGCACTGCCTTCTTTAAAGCAAACCTCCATTCTGGAAACAGTGCATCATTTTCTTGGCAATTACAGGTACTTCTATTGCTAAATGAAGCAGACATTAAGTGAGGTGTGTCTTGTTTTTAACAATCTTTTTTTTTAAACTGGGGTCATTAAGCGAATCACCAGTGTTGCTAAGTGAACCCAGTGGACATTAAGCAAATCCTGTTGTTCCCCGGACTGCTTATTGGAAGCTGGTTGGGAAAATCACAGGTGATGATCAGGTGATCCTGGGACATTGCAACCATTATAAATACGTGCTGGTTGCCAAGTCAATGTTTTTTTAACACTGTCCTAACTGCCTTCCATCTCGCTAAGAATCGGATGCAACCTTGCTTTTATTT